AAAAAAAATTAAAACTCAATTTAATTTATCTTTAAATATTTCGTTAATTCTCTTAATATATAATTTATTTTATATTTCATTTTATTTCTTAACACAAAAATAAAACAATAATTCTGAAAAAAAAAATTATTTTTGACCCAAATCCGGGTCCAAACCCGGATTTGGGCCGGATAGCCGACCCGGACCAAAATCCGGGTCGGTGTGTCCGGACTGGTCTGGGCCATATGGTCCGGACCAGTCCGGACCCGGTCCGGTAGCCGTAACGGGCCATCGCTGTGGTCCGTAACGGACCAGAAATGGTCCATAACGGACCATTTCTGGTCTGTTACGGACGGTGCAGCCGACGGAGCTGCCGGAAAACTCCATTTCCGGCGAGCTCCGTCCCTTTTTTCACTCTTTTTCAACATTTTAACCTCAAATTCGATATTTTCTTACATTTTAACTATAAAAACATGAATTTAACTCATATTCATATCCTAAACATTCAAACTTTCACAAATTCGAAGTAGTTATTTATAGAAAACATGTCTAACCTTCCAGAAAATGATGGTCTCCGGCGAATCGAGGTGGCTCTGGTCTTAGTCGAAGTTGGTGAGGTCTGGACAGTCCGTAGGCGACGTCGACGGTCCGGGCAGATTTTTTCTTTTTTTTTTTCTCTTCTTTTTTCTCTCTATTTTCTCTTCTCTTCTTTCCTTGATGGGGGGTATTTTCGACCCTACACAAATAATAACATTTTCCCTTTTTTTTTTTTTAAAAAAAAACTTGGTCAAAGGCTATTTTGATAAACATACCGGGTGGGGCAGCCATTGCCCACCATTTCCTCGTCCAGAACCAAACACCACCATTTTTTTTATAAACACATTCATTGAGATTTAGATTAACCAAACCCTCAATTCAAAAGCCCAATAACCTAAGGACACTTGGTGGTGTTGTGATGAGTGGTCATATCAGGAATAACATGGTCCTCACCTCTCTCTATTGCCAGATGTCCCTGGCGGCGCACACTTGCACCTCACACAACAAGTCACACGTGTTCTCAGGCACGGATTTTTCCACGAGTGCTCCTGCACGTGTACTTGCACAACCCACCACAATCGAGTCGGTGGGCCAGGGTGGGGCTGGAAAAAGTTTAGGAAAAAGCTATTCTAACATATTCATTTGAATAGATTGTATACAGATTACTCATAATGATATTATTTGTGCCATTTTTTAATTCGGTGGGACCCATCTCATTTGTGAGTAACCTGTTCAAATAAATCTGGTTGTATAGCAAAGTCCATTTATTTCAAAAGGATTATGGTGGCTGTAACCTGTACTTGCACAACCCACCACAATCGAGTCGGTGGGCCAGGGTGGGGGCTGGAAAAGGTTTATTTCAAAAGGATTATGGGGGCTGGTGTATAGCCCCCTCATGTGTGAGGGGATTGTACAGCGTGGTGTACAACAAGCATGGTTGATTTCAAAAGCCCTTTTTAAGCTGACTATATATATATATATATTATCCAAACACATTTAAAAATAATCCCTTATCCCCTATTTGACACCTATTTTTCAAAATTTATTTTTTTCCAAACTCATTTTCAATTACAGATATCATGAATTTACAATTTTTAATCATACATTTAGTCAACTTTTATCAAAATTTACATCCAAATCAAATGGAAGCTTAATTTTTTTTTTCTTTTTCTTTAAGTCCTATCAAACAAGCCCTATTGTAGCACCATATAAATTAAAAAAATACTGATT